ATTAATCAATCAAATTGACCTTTTTGTTTGTCTTTTGTGTTAGAAAAATATTTAATGAACCACAGCATCTGCAGCTGGTTAACTTTCAAAGACGGCACCGTTTTAGTTGGCTGCTACAGTTAACCAGCTTTAACACAAAATACCTAACACTGAATCAAATTTACAGATACTGAGCTAAAGTTGTGGTAGCTAAACATTATCCTCAACACATACTCTAAGCATTAACAAAATCGCAAGAGATTACGCTTAATAAGGGCTTTGCAGGGTTTGATCAAAATGGTAACTCCCTCCTTTCCTTTTGTCTCATTTTAAAAGTAAAAGGTGGTGATCAGTGTTGCTTAATTTGTTCTGGGGATCAGAAACATCCCCTCATTCAAATAAGAAGCAAGTGTAGAAAGTTGTAATCGGTTTGAAATGTAATAGCARCGTTTGTTTTTGCCTTAGAGGCCAATTTACCCCTCTGACATCTTTTATATCAGCTAGTTGGTAGCTTCTCTGCTCATAATGTAACAAGGAAAATAACATTAAACAGTCATTGTAAGAATAAAGCAGAGCCCTAGGATGTTTCCTAAAATGACTAATGGAGTCTGTTTTTCCTTTTTTTTTTCAAGAGAAGTGGAGCGGAGCTGCACTGTTACGGTGCAGACACACCTGTGCAAATATGACCTTCAAAGAAGAATCAGGAGGAGAAAACGTGTTCTCGCAACCTTTCGTTTGACATTATGAGYTTGGAGAAGGATATTTAAACGAAGATGTAAATGTAAATTTGGAAATAAGTCTCTTATATCTGTAAATAGGAGACCGTCCTGGGATAAGCAAAGATCAAAAAAGCACAATCAAAAACAGAAAAGAAACATGGAATAGATCATTTCTTATGCTTGTGTTTCTGCCAGTGACCCACACAGGGATCATTTTACAGGGAGAGGGAATGGAACCAATGTATTCTATAGCATAATGACAAATTGTACCATTTGTGCAAAAARCTCCCAACTGAAAGAAAAAAGCTTAAAGCTTGTAAGATGGCAAAAAAAGTAAAAAAAAAAAACATTCTGAAGAACAGGGAAAAATCTTCTAAACAAAAGTTAAAGACATAAAGCAGCTGCAACTCTGATAAATGAAGCAACCCCTGTTCTTTTTTATTGTAATTTAAAGCAATACAGCATGATTTCTTTTAATAACAGAAAACTGAAACATTTCTCATTTTAATACCTTTTTGAAATTAGGTCATCTGGTGCTCACTTAGTCATTGAGAGCAGGAAAAATGATGCCAGTGGTGTCCTCTATAATTTGMATACCGCTGCGTCCTCGGGCAGTTTTCCTGCATCACTGCAGTTTAAGATTAAGGCTTTGGTTCCAGATATTTCCCCGGACACCTGAKCATGAGTGCCAATCGTAATAAAAATGGGGCTCCTCCTCCCTGTGTTTTCCAATAAGAGGAACCTACTGGAACGAACCTCCCCTCCATGRCAACCTCCCAATGCCGTATTACCTCCAGTTATAATAGGGAGGCTTCATCATCTGAGGAAGATGAGAAGGAGAACAAAAAAACAACTTCGGGGCGGGGGGGAATCAAGCCAGGCAAGAGTTGAAGCTTTCCTTCCTTTCAGTCTGCGTCCCTTTGATGTCAAACACATGGGGGAGATCTGAGTCTTAATATGAGTTGGGTGAAATGGGAACGTTGCTAAATGATGCAACAGAAGTATAAGATGATTAGTTATGCAGCTCAAACGCGAAAGTCCTGAACCATAATGTCACTAATGTTGATTAGTTCAGCTGCAGCCACTGAACTCTTCTGCCCCCGTCTTTTAAACTGGAAACAGACGTGCTTTAAAAAGACAGTCTGGTCATGTTTTTTTGGTACCTTAATAGCCATAACATCAGTCACATATCTAACATCTAGCCTAAAAACTTCTGTTACTATATACAAATGAATTGACTAAACATAAACATTAATAGATGCACGAAGCATGGCCGCCATTGCTTGTCGTCAGTGCCTCCCCCAGAAAATTTTCACATGCTGGCCATGAAGATTTTAGGGTGGCACTGTGCTCCACTTCAAGGTGGTGAGCAATTTAGAGCAGGATTGCATTTATTTTGCAAATTAGAAATAATTTATTAACTCATTAATTCTGTATTTATTTGTTTGGTTTTACATTTGTGACTTAATTAAAGATGATGGTATGAGTGTGGGGCAGTGGTGGCCAGAAWTTTTTTTTGTTTCAACTTAAAACCAAACTATCATTTTTTTAGGTGCTGCCATTTTGCATTTTTGGAGCCAGCACACACCACTATAGCCTCAATATTAATTGTGGGCATATTGATCTAAACATTGCATCATGTATCAAATCCATGATGACATTRTGACTGTTGTTGCACTTACTCTATGTATCCAGCAAATTACTCAAATTTCCATTCTCTTCATCACTTTATTTACACTATGGTCTTTAATTTTCCCATCTGGAAGATTTTTTTTACATTATTTTATGTGATTTTTGTTACATTACTGATTTCTTTTTTGTTTTTTGCAGTAGTGACTTAATAAAAAAATGTGTAGGAGAGTTGATTTATTATTTGTACCCTTTTACAATATTTTAAATTGCTGTAGTTTGTTATTTAAAAAACATTTTTGAGCTTAAATTAATGTCCTGTGTTTTATCACTAAAGGCAAAATATTAAAATTTTATTTCAATGGCATTTCAAGGGGAAAATCTGCAGTATTATCAGCAGTATTAGCAGTGTTAGCCCTTTAATTGCTTGATGTCAGATTGATATCAAAATTTCCTGTATCGACCATGTACAATATGTATGGACAATATATTAATAGTTTATATGGCCAAGATTTTCCCCTATTTTTCAGGTATACAAACATATAGGACAATCTTCTAATAAAAAAAATCCTTCAAATTTATTTGTCTTGGACCAGCAGCCTGTAAGGAAATAATTTCCTTTCCTCTGTGTTTCTCTACCGCTGCTGATGCTGTTATCTGCACCCCATGGTCCACAGTCTGCTTGTCTGCTCCAAACCCAAATCCCACCCCAACACCTAAAAAAATACCTCAGGTGATCTTTTTTTATTGTGCCTGTCATATAAATGGATTGGGGGCTTAGAAGTTGTACTATAGCCAGCCACTTGGGGAGTTTGATCTTTGTTGCTTCAACTTCTGGTTTCTGGTCCTGTTTCTAGTTCTAATACACCTTGATGTACAAACTTCAGATGACTATTTGACACTTAAAAATGACCAGATTCTCCCTTTAACTATCTAAACGTACGTTAG